CAGAGGACCGCCTCCGCCCAGAACATCGCCTCCGCCTAGAACATCGCCGAGGGGGAGGCCTTGTCGCTTTGCAGCTGGATGTGCAGATTCTGGGACGTATTCTGAGGGGATGAAAGGATGACCTGGGCTCGGGGGCAGACTTGCGGCGAGGGTGGTGCCGGTTATGAGGAGGGTGGTGAGGATGGATGTGTACATGATGGACGATTTGCTACTGTCAAAGTAGAGAGATTTGATAGGTCTGAAATGTGAATAGGACGCGCGTTGTCTACAGAAATTATAGAGATTTCCGGTCTACTTGTACTTCTCGTGAGTTGTACGTCTCGTGGAGGTGAGAGCATCTTTCTTCCCAAAGCAATATGAGACGGCAATTTCTTTTTCTGTGTATCAACTGTCACGACACTTGCTCCCTACCGGCTCCGTGAGACTCGGCGGGTAGAGTTGTGTAACAAAATGCCCGGTCGCACTGATCACCTGCAGTACGCGACCAGGCTGCACGTAGGCTGCGTGCATCCCTTCGAGGACTTCTGCGGAAACGTAGTCTTCAAAAGTGCGGGTGGTGACTGGGAGGCGCTCGATTATGTGCGCATGAGAGATGTATGTCGACTGAAACGCAACGGCAGTGCTGAATCAAGTCGAGTACAGTTGAGCACTTGAGTGCGCATTGTTGATGAAGTGCCGTTTCTGGCACTGGCCCGCTGCGTCGCGGCAACGTCTTTCGCAAGGTGCAACAGCCGGCGGATGGAACGATGGACTTGTAAACAGTCGACTTACTCTATTCTGATAGTAGACGATAATTGGGTACAAGAATACTGACAAGTCCCTCCCGAGTGGTGGTATCATATGCGCTCCAATAACGCGACCAAACAAAGCGCTGTAACGCTAACAAGACGCCGCCGCAATGTCCCATGCCCAAAACACCGAGGACTTCTAGGTACTCGGTGGAGAAGGAGAGGGGCCTGCTGCCACGGGTATATGAACGACGAATGGTAATCAAAGCGATCTAAGATATCCCTGAGAGCGAGTGTACTACGCCCCTGACCTCTCGGGTGCTTCTGGTCGGTCCGGCTCGTAGTTTGTCTCGCCCAGTGACTCGGTAGGTCCAGAGACAGAAGGCGCTGACGGAGCAGCGGCACTTGGACCCCGAGACGCTGCCGCGTTCAGGCGCTGGTTCAGAGCCTCTAGAGCGAGAGCACGTCTCCTTTCCGCCTCGGCACGTGTGGCTCCTCCTCGACCGCCCTTGCTGTTGGGGTTCATGATGCTGGGTAAGCCCCCTTCAGCCCGGGCGCTCGCCTGTTCGTTGCCTGCATCAATATCCTGATCTGAGAAGGGTATGCACACTTTGAGCGACACGAGTGTGTTGTAGATGCCGTCGGAGAGGGCGCCAACGGGGGTTTGTATGGGCTCCGGGAAGAAGTGGGCAAACGAGAAGGTGTCTGAGGCGTCACCGCGGATGACAGAGCCGTCGCCAGTTGCAGTAGACGACAGTGATGGGCTTATGCGGTAGAAGCGGAGGTAGATCCAGGCAGTGAAGAAGCCGAAATATGCCAGAAACATGGCTGTCTCGGTACCCAGTATTATGCCGGAAATTGTGTTGGTGAGGAGGAAGATGGCAGGGAAGTGCTTGACGCGCATGCGGATGAGGCCCTTTGCGATGGCCACGGTGTGTTCGGGCACGAGCTGCTTGAAGGAGACGAGAAAGCCGGCTTGGATGGCAATGCCGCCAGAGATGGTCGTGCGCCTATGCTTGGTCAGTACAGTGCATGGGAAGAAGGCCGAGTGCTCACATCAGAGAGGTCTTGCCCATGACCAGGTAGCCGACGATGTAGAGCAGATAGGCGAGCATGTTGGGTATCATGGCCACGAAGAGCATGAACTTGGTGAACTCGTGAGACCCCCACGCTCTTTCCAGGTAGCGCCCGCCATAGAAGACGGTGAGTCCGGTGGTGATGAGGCCGAGGAGGTTCTGCTCCACCACCGTCGCCAGCGCGAAGACCCAAGGATACCACGGCACCGAATAGCGGGGGACGATGGTGAGCCACGGGACGCCGTTTCCCACGCCGATGATTGGCTTCTCGATCTTCTCTACCAGGTTGGCGTTGGGTCGCAGTGCGAAATTTACCAGCGTAAAGAATACGACGGCCGCCAGCACGCCCCGAGTGAGCGGGGGCAGGTTGATGCGCGCCATGGTGGGGAGAATGCGGCGTCTGGAGGCGGGAGGTGAGGCAGTCGGGCGTCCTTCACGTATCGGCCCGGGCAGGTCCAGACGGGCGGTGGAGGTGTCTTTGGTGAATTGAGCATGCAGGCGTGGGAGCGTCTGCATGTGTCGACGGCAGGGATCATGAACGACGCTCGGACGGAGATCCTGTGGGGACTAGCGGCCGCCAGAGTGCTGAGTAGTTGCAGGTAGCCTTCGATCCTCCTACCAGCTCGACGACGACCACCACCACGAATCGCGCACCCAGCACGCCCCGCCTACCACCGACCCTACGCACTCAGCTCCCCGGCGCATGCAGCGCGTACAGGATGCGCCATGGCGGAGACTCTCAGCAGCAACGCGATGAACTATCTCGGTACACGTCCCCAGCCCACGCCTCTGTTGGCCTGCATGACTGACGTCTAGGTGCAGTATGGCGATATCTTCAGGAGGCCGGATTCGGTAATGCCGCCCTGCAACTCTCGCGATGCTGGATCCGCGACCCCGACACGCTGCCCTTTGCGAAGAACATCGAGCAGCACGCCCTCATCAGGCTCGTCCAGGACGGGCTGTGCTTCGACCAGCTGCAGGCCGAGGCCTGCAATGTACGTCGCATACACGCGCGCGGGAAGCTGGTACTGACGAGCGCAGACGGAGCCGCGCTACAAGTTCGGCAGCGACCACGGACGACCCTATTCGGCGCGCAATGGCAACCTCTTGACCCTCGACAAGGGCATTCCCGCACACGAACTCGCCGCCGAGGCCAACGGCGCTGTCCAAGAACCCCCGCCCAAGAAGACGCTCAAGCGCAAGAAGACGAAGCCGACGAATGGCGTCGAGCCGCGCCCCGAGCCCCAGGTCAACGGCGATGCCATGGACATCGAGCACAACGGCACCACCCATGTGACCAACAGCGTGCGGGCTGAGTCGGAGCCCATGGTCTCGGAAGCCGAGTCGCCCTCGCTTGCTGATATCCCCATATCCACCCTCAGCATCGGCCAGGACGCTGAGATCCAGACCGAGGCCATCGCTGTGGCTGATCTCACTCCCGGCATCGTCTCCATCCCTCCCCCCTCAGACCCTGCCTGTCTTATCGAGCACACGCTATGGGGGCCTATAGACTCCCCTGTACTGCTCGCAGCCGGCAAATCCCTCCTCCAAGTTCACGTTGTGAGCAAAGACCCTGGCCATGAACCCCCTACCCAGCATTTCGACATACCCTTACCCGTCGACAACTTCGACGTCACCGCGCTATGCTGGCATTCCGACAACGAACTCACTGTCTCTGTGCGAGAACAGCGATCCAACGAAGTCGGAGAGAAGATGATGATGGACAAGCTCATCAAGCTTACCGAAGGCGGCCAGGCCTCACAGGTCATCTCCTCCACTGCCGGCCTCATCAACACGCTTCGCTGGAACCCCGAACGAAACTTGCTGCTCTCGATATCAACAGACGGCGAAAAGGGTTCCATCAAGGTGTGGAAGAACGATAGCGACTCTATACCCGCATGGACCGAATTCACCGACACGGCCATATTCGACGCCCACTGGATAAGTGACTCTGCTTTTGTCGTTTGTGGTATCAAGCTCTTCAAGATCTACCAAGTCAACGATTCCCTGACTACCCAGCAAACCCTCGACACTTCAGTAACATGGGAAACAGTCAAGTATGACGCTGCGTCTAGGATCATCGCCGTGCTGGGTATCGAAGACAGGAAGTACTATCTTGGCATCCTCCACCCCAACGACTCGATACAACTACAGGTCCACGAATATCCTGATGAGTACCCCACCGATCTCAGCTTCCGCGTAAAATCAAAGACCAGCCACCTTACGAACGGTTCTTCGCTGCCCTCTGTTCTGCTTGCAACGAGCTCCATGGCTGGTGCAACGCGCATCTGGGACGCAAACGAACCTTTCAAATGCGTCAAATATCTACCTACCACGGATGGTACGCAGGCCTTTAAGATTGCTTTCTCTCCAGACGGGTCGCTCTTAGCTGCTGCAGGCCCCGATGCCGTCACTGTTTGGGATGTAGAAAAGAGAGATGTACCAATTGCCTCGTGGCGCGCCAGTGAAACTCCCAGCGACAAATGGAACCCGGCCATAGACGGAGAGTACAGTCTTGGTTGGGAGCCAGATAGTTCTAGGTTATCTATCGCTCTTGGAAATCAGGTATGCAAAATGCGAAGAGAAGATTTCCAATTGCTTACACTACTACAGATTGCTATCGTCACGGTTCCGAGGTAGTACCGGGGATCGTCTATGGAACAAACTCAATTGCAGCTCTGCGGTACAACTATCGCGCCGCTCATCGCAGGGGTTTCTCAGCTGTATTGCACAGGACGGATAGAAAACTATCCAGAGCCGAACGCGCAAGTCTTCACGGGGACATTCCGCGAAGTCACTAAGAGCGCGTTGCGGGATGCAGCGGGACGCATGTGGAGGTCCGGGGTGGCGCCTCGGCCGACACAGATGCGGAGGCTGTCGCGCTCTGATAGGCTAAGCCTAGCGGTGGAACCCCAGGCCGTCTGCTGAATCCGACTGGTAACTCGACGTCTCGCTAACGCTCCGCCTACTGCTTCGGCACTTGTATCATACGGCCAACCCTGACGATGGTGAGGGGTGTAGGTGGCCGTACTTATAACGGTTCTCTGTCGCCATTTTGCGGCCAACATCATCTGGATCGTTTCTGTCATACTCTATACTACCACCTACGCTGGCCAGTCTAGCCTCTGAATAAACCATTTAATTTGGATACACGTCGCGCAATTACTCCTATTGTGTAACTCGTTCTTTCTTGACGATGTCGGCAGTACCTAACCTTCCTATCGACGCGCCTGGCATTTCCATTAACGAGGATGCCAATGGGCTTTCAGCGAAGCCGCCTTTCAAGCTCAACGATGCGCCTGTGGAAAACTTGCGACGTCTGAGAGTTGTTGTTATCGGTGCTGGATACTCGGGCATCTATTGCGGCATTCGCATTCCAGAGAGATTGAGAAATGTCGATCTTGTCATCTATGAGAAGAATGGCGGCGTTGGAGGGACTTGGTACGAGAACAGGTAAGCATTTCTTCTGTGACTAACCAAGGTCTTCTTACTGTTTCGCAGTGCATTCACTGACTTGATCGCAGATATCCCGGTTGCGCATGCGACATACCATGTAAGCAAGCTTGAACTTACGAGTACAACCACGGCTAATAATCTACAGCTCACTCATACCAGTATACGTTCCAACCGAACCCGAACTGGTCGTCGCTCTATGCCCCGTCTGCGGAGATTCAATCTTACCTCCAAGACGTAGCGCACAAGTACTCCGCGGATCGCTTCATCAAGCTACGCCATGAGATTCAGGCATGCCACTGGGATGGCAAGACTGCGAAGTGGAACATCACAGTGAAGAATCTCGACACAGGAGATGTGCTACAGGACAAGGCCGACGTACTTGTTTCAGGGAGGGGTGGTTTGAACACACCATCTTGGCCTGAGATAAAGGGCTTTGAGACGTTCAAAGGCGAGGTCATGCATTCGGCAGTCTGGAATCAAGCCTACGACTTCAACAACAAGCGAGTAGGCGTCATCGGTTCTGGTTCCTCCTCCATCCAGATTGTCCCGTCGCTGCAGCGTCTACCAGGTACTCATATTAGTACCTTTGTGCGTAGTAAGACGTGGATCTCGCCTCCCTTCGGCCAACAGCTATGGGACAAGTACGGTTTCAATGGTTCGACGATTCCCCCAGAGCTTCGCGATCGTTTCGCGAACGATCCAGAATATTACCACAAGTTCAGGCTTTCAGTCGAGGAAGATGGAAACAGCATCCATGCTGTTACCATGAAAGGGACTGAGTTACAAAAGGGCGCAAAGGATATGTTCCATCAGCACATGAAAGAGAGGCTGAAGAGCAAGCCTGAGATCTTCGAAGCACTCTTACCCTCCTTCTCCCCAGGGTGCCGTCGGTTGACGCCTGGTCCAGGCTATCTCGAAGCCTTGACGCAACCCAATGTCGACTTCGTCACATCGCCCATAACACACATCTCCGAATCCGCAATCCACACAGCCGACGGAAAAACGCACGAAATCGACGTTCTCGTGTGTGCCACAGGCTTCAAAGCCTCAGCCCCACCTCCGTTCCCCCTAACCGGCAGCAACGGCCTGCCACTTGCTAAAAGGTGGGAGGACCGCGCCGTAAACTACCTCTCACACTCCGTATCTGGCTTCCCCAATCTCTTCACCATGCTCGGTCCCAACGCCGCAATCGGCTCCGGCAGCCTGACGTGCATGATCGAGACCCTAGGCGACTACATCATCAAAGCAATCCGCAAGATCCAAAAAGAAAACATCGCAGCCATGGTTGTCAAGGAAGCGCGCGAGAAGGACTTCATCGAATACGTCGACGCCTACTTCCAGGGCACTGTCTTCGCCGACGAATGCCGAAGTTGGTACAAGAACAAGGGGACGGGCGAGGTCGTTGGGCTCTGGCCAGGAAGTACGTTGCATTGTGTTGAGACGATGAGGAGTCCGAGGTGGGAAGACTTCGACTATATTTATTTGGATGAGCTCGAGGGACAGAGTGACGGTACAGAGCTACATGGTGTGGGGAAGACGAGCAACAGGTTGGCTTGGTTGGGCAATGGGTGGACTAGTGCGCAGACGGAGGGCAAACACTTGGCGTGGTATTTGTACCCCGAATTTATGGAGAAGCCTGTTTCGCCACTGCCGGAGGAGAAGGAGACGTATGCTATTAGGCCGTTTTCTTATTGAGGGAAGGTGGAGAGCAATGGCGGTTACTTGACAACGTCAAGCCAGTCGACACTTGCAAATTTGATCAACATTGAAGCTGATCTTTTCTATGAACAACGATTACGGCAGGCCGTCCCGCAATGCACATGAACCGCCATATTCTTGGCATACATATCGCTCACTCTGACGGACGAGGCTAGCTACTCACTAAGTTCAATCTTTTGCGCAGCATTTCTGTTCAAGGGCGCAGTAAAATACAAGATCGTCTTCTCTCCCGTTCATTCAGACTATTTATACACTCCACCCTTACAACGGACCCAGTTTCTCAGCATAGCTCCTGAGGTTCGCACAAGGCTGAGAACGCCTCGTGCTTTGCCAAGAACATGTGGCTGGAGGAGAAGATGCACGGTGCGAGTATCATTGGGTAAAGTACAGATCTTGACGTCGAGAGGATCGTCTGCGGCATGTCCGCTGCATCTGTTGAGGGGGCCGATGCTCGTTACCAGGCTGTGGGAGAAGACGGAGAAGATGTATTTTAGCTACCGAAGGTGCTCAGTAAATCCGGCCTTTCTTGTATCTTCCCGATCTCTGTTTACCGTCTGCTAAGTAGGGGACGACTCATTATCGTGCTGCCCATAATGCCTTCATACGTCTGGCTCGCATGCCTTCTCACAATCATCACACACACCACCGCACAATCAGACAGCGACAGATGCGAAGGCAACACCACCACCTACCACGACTTCAACCTCACCGTGCCCTTCCAAAACCTCTGCGGGAAAGACATTGGCGCCAAAGTCGACTTCCTCGATCCCACCTTCGAAGAAACTTGGTCCGATTGCATGGGTCGCTGCGTCAAGAAAGAGCCGCTGTGCTACGGCTTCGATTTTCGACCTCTCGGCGCGACAGAATTCGAAAATTGTTGGCTCATGAACGCTACGTTTGATGCGGCGACGGCTGTGTATCCCGGGTTTGCGATTGATGCGGCGATGTTGGCACCGGATTTGGTAGAGGGGTTGGATAAAGATTGTGAGACACTGGGCCTTCGAGGGTGCTTCCTGAAGAACGGGAGATTGGAGAAGGTGACGGGTATGTTTCCATAATCCCCATGAGCAACAAAGCAATCGCTAACAATCGACATGGATAGCTTCCTCGACTTCCCCAACCTCGACGCCGTCAAATACCTCAACCAACACAGACGCAGCTTCCACCAACTCAAAGAGTCTTTCCAACGGCGCAAAGGGAGGAATCGCAGCCGGCATCGTGGCTTTGGCGGTGTTAGTAGCCCTGATCATCGCCTTTGTATGTATCAGGCGACGCAAACAAAGAGCGCGGGGTTATAGCTCCGATGAAAGCGCAGCTGAAGTCTCAGCTCACCATCAGATTGTGGAGATGCTGGCCCACAAAGGATCGTACAGCACAGCAGAACTTCCATGCCAAGAAACCGCACAAGAACTTGAAGGTACCGAAGGTGCCAAAGTACCCATACCAACAAGCGAACTCGAGGGAAGTTCACCAGAAAAACCAGAAACAAGGTTTGAAGAAGTGGTGGTGGTGGACGCTAGAACACATAGACCCTGCCCTTGCCCGCCGGCAACCTGGATTTGAGAAATGGCATGTGCAAACCTCCCTCTTTCCCCATTTAACCACCACGTGCCGTGACATCTCCCCGCCCGCCTCTCAAACAACCACCAACAAGTGAGACACCCGCAATCTAAAACCAATCCTGCCCTGCACAACGCGGACAACCCTTACCTAGGCTGTGCAAACAAGAACAAGGCTGCGCACAGCCGCCCTTATCCACACATGCATCCCCAGGCCCCCAAACAACAAAACAGCCGCCGCCCTAGCGCAACAAATGGATCGCCGTATCCGCGCACTCATACTGGGACTGGTTTGCTTACTCCTACCCTTGCGCCCCACGTTACGCCGTCCTAATAGTGGGAAGCTGCACAATCATGACAAGGCGTCTGGCTTGATTGCCCGTACGACAGTAAGCAACAAAGCGTGTGTCTGGGAGTTGGGTAGTTGGAAGGATTCGGGGTTTGGGTTGCTGCAGTGCGTGAGGCGGAGTGCGGCGTGCCTTGTAGGATGCTGCGGCTGAGCTGGAAGCCTGATCGGCTTATACGATGGGGTTGTCTTTGTTCATAGGTGGCCTTGAGGCTGGAGAGGTTTGTTTCGATTTCTGATCTTTTTCTCTCTTTTTCGCCTTTTGCCCGTTGGATTCGTGGTTGAAGTGCAGCCTTGGGTTTGGCTCGATATACCTGGGTACTGTAAAGATGCTACCTTTTATCCGGAGTTTCACGACCACCGCGTTTGACGACGATCTACCGCGATGTACTCCTTGGTTTCCAGGATGTGAGAAATTTGGCGCGAGTACCTCAGAGACGGACGGGACAAGTACCGCACAAACGGAGGGGATTGGTTTCGCTCTGACAAGGACGCCGGGTGGATGGGGGATTTCTCCATCCGATGGCATTTCGGACATACAGCCATCACCTACCTTTGATGGCTTTGGCTCTAGCATCACACAACTTGCCGAACCTAGCACCCAGCCCACCTTCACGAGCTTAGGATTGCAAACGCCCTCAATCATAAGAACATCAATATCAACCTCGCGAAGCCAGACTGCCTCACCCAGCCAACTAACATCCGTAACGACGCAAGATCCAAGTCAGGCAACGGTCGCGACCCTGGCAGGAGTAGCAGCTGGCGACGAGACGAAGGGATTGAGCGCTGGTGCAGTAACGGGTATTGCCATCGGAACATTCATCATTGGCGCAGCAATCGCATTCGCCGCCGCCTTCTTCCTCTTCAGGCAGCGGAATAAACACAAGAATACAAATGTCAGTACGAAAGATTACCCAAGCTATGCCGACTCCGCGCCCGATCTAGGAATGATGCAACATAAAGGTGTCGGCAGTCTAGGAGGGCGGCACAGCCCATATGTACAGGTATCGCAAACACCTATGCCAGCGACGCCCACTACTGCATTATCTCCTCCGATGATAACGCCCGCCGCCGTGGCAAACGAATCGTCCAAGGATGTTACCTCGTTCTTACCCCCTGCAGCAGACGATGACGAAGTGTGGAACGGCGTGTCGCACTTGTTCAGCATGATGCATGAGCATATCGACCAGTTCTACCGCGACGTACATGCCTGTATCACTCCGAGTATGGAACCTTCAATCGCCAAGTTCGGTATCAAAGACGTGGACATGGCGGAACTCTTGCAAGAATGTTCGAGTCCAACTGCGGCACTCAAGCATGCGCTCGTAGCATACGTACTGGGTATAACAGGGCCAAAGCAAAAAGAAGACAGGGAAGGCACATTATTTCCAGAAGAGCTGGCGCACGTCGCCAATGGCGCCGACGTTGGATCAGGTAAACCTCCATCCCTACCCCTCGATCCACGGAAGGCATTAAGCTCACACCCAATCCTAGATCCCGACTTCATAGCCGCCACCTCTCTCCGCCGCCGCGTCTCCGTCTACCTCTACAGCACCATAACCGGGTACCCGAACCGACGCAAATCCTGGATGGCACAGTCTGAAACACGCGAAGCAGCCGAACACTTCTCGCTTACCTTCTTCCCTTGGGCGAATCCTACGTCTAGCGATCAGGATCGAGATGAGGATCTTGCTCGGATTATTACGGATACGCTGACGGTGAGGATATGGTTGTTTGGGCAGTTGGATACGTATGAGTTTGAGTGGGAAGGGGTGGGAGAGAGGGGGATTGTGATTAATCCCGAGTTGGTGAAGAGGAAATGGAGGAGTGATAGTAGAGATGGGGGTGGGGATGGGGATGTGGTGGTACATGTAGTGGATGGGACTGTTGTTGCTATGTAGACTGGATGAATACATGCCCATCTTTTCGCCATTAGGCCGCGAAGTTCCGTTTGACGCGAGACACGGCTACTACGGCTTGGGTCTTCGCCAGAGTTGAGACCAGTCTCCGGGCATGCAGGCCGTTTCTTGATCCCGATGCGAATCCATAGAGTTGATTCATTTAAGGAGGCACAGTAGACTCATCGAGCCCTACAGATATTTGGTTTGGCTATTGCTCTCCTGCGGGGCCCCGCAATGATAATGCTCCAACTAATACGTCTCTGTAAGTCGTTATTGGTTGGCATCTGCTTCAGCGTGCCCAGACCTGCCAACATCAGCCAATACGGCATGCCGGTAGCTATGACGACGGCTGTTTGAACGCCAAGATGTGTATGGATGGTCGCATCGCGATCACTGTGTTGATCGCACGTTAGACCCTACAGTAAACTGCATTACACATCTGAGCATGTGCACGAAGACATGCGCGCAAAGGCGTTCTCTCAAAGGGCGTTCGCATGGGCTGTCAGCCGAGGACGGAACATATTACCCTCTCGCACGGTGAAAGCTTAGCGCGAACTGCACACAAAACACACCCACAACAACTAGCTCTTGTAAGTAATCCAGCACGCCATGCAAAAGTGTCCACAGTAAAGGACCAGCTAGCACAGACAAGCGGGAACAGATATGGCGACCAGCCCAACGGTAACAATTGCCGGTGCCTCGGATGGGTCCTGCGTCCCTCTTCCCCACGCCCGAAAGCTGATGCTTGCAGGCATCGCGTGGTCAGGCCCATTCTTTGCAAAGGAACATGCGATCAGCTCCACAACCTGCCAGATATGTAGAACTTGTACTCTTGACAGTCTGGTCACAATGGTGTGCTTGGGGCTTGTGTGGTGTCATACCAAGAGCTTTGTAGGAGGGTTCGGCACCTTTGTAGCCGAGCTTGTAGCTTACGGGAGAGCTCCTGCTTTTCGACACTGCCCAGGTGATGACAGTTTTGCAAGTCATTATAGGCCGACTGCGCCGCTTGAATTCGGGCAATTGCGTACGGCCGGGAGATATTGTGCGGTCGCGAAGTTGCGGGCCGGCTGCCTGCCGAAGCTGTTTTCCTCAGGGTCAAGCATGGATATCTAGGTACATGGTGATGGTGAATAAGTGCCCGCCCTGATGGGCCAACATGTCGCTGCGCGCGTTTACAGCATGTGAAGCAGGGCAAATTGAATGTCGCCAATTATTGGCAGTCAAGCAGATTGACGGCGGATCGGCACAGCAGTACAGTCTGACTGGCGTGGTGTGCTAGTGATCCGGAGAAACGGAGGGCATCACAGGATGCTATCCGTATTGGATCATGGTGCCGCCCACGGAATGGTTGTGGGCCCAGACAGAAGCCAGCAATAAGCTGTTCGTCATATTCCAGTCCCCGCAGCGAAGGCACGCGAGGGGTAAGGCTACATCACCAACGCCCTGCTAGAGTCGCAGCTCATAAGAGTGCCGTTCGCCCATCTCGTGCTCTGCATTACAAACTCCCTCTCCCAACCGCGTCGCCTCAATCTCGAACCTTGAACAGCCACGCGAAGCTCCACTTAAGCAGCTATTTCCCGAACATTCACCAACTTCACTCCGGCCCCTGCGGCAATCAAGCGTACCGCCGACCCCTTTACCCGGAATTGAGACATATAACTGTTCTGGACAATCCGTCCGTCTCTGACCTGCGATCCTGCCAGACTACGCTTCCACGCTGGTGAAGCTGCTGAACTGTCCTCGTCGCGAAATTGCAGCGCGCCGAAGCCGAGCTCCTTTGCCCCGCCAGCCAGGCTAAATAATCCACATCGACCAGCCCAGACATGTCTGAAGGAGACGTCAAGCCGCCCGTCGTGGCCGAAGCCCACCAGGTGGACACATTCCATGTTCCCAAGGCGTTTTACGAGTGAGTCTCTCTGTTTGTTTGGTCATTGCATCATGCACCAAGCCAATGACAGCTGCGGCGTCATCCAAGCTCCAGAGCTCGCGGGTGGGCGGGGTGACCCCGCGCCGCCGAGCGTTTGGCCGACCACCAGATCGCGATCGCACCCAGACGAGAGCCCGGCACGCAGCTAACGCGCGCACAGCAAGCACCCGCACTCGAAACCGCATCTTGAGAACCTCGAAGAGTACCAGAAGCTGTACAAGGAGTCCATCACCGACCCAAAAGCTTTCTGGGGCCGACTCGCGCGCGAACTGCTCACGTGGGAGCGCGATTTCCAGACCGTGTCCTCGGGTAGCTTCGAACACGGCGATGTCGCGTGGTTCGCCGAGGGCAGACTGAATGCCAGCTACAACTGCGTCGACCGCCATGCCTTCAAGGACCCCAACAAGCCTGCCATCATCTACGAGGCCGACGACGCGGGCGATGGCCGCATCATCACATACGGAGAACTCCTCCGCCAGGTCTCGAAGCTGGCTTACACACTGAAGGAGATGGGCGTGAGGAAGGGCGACACCGTTGCTCTATATCTGCCTATGATTCCAGAGGCCGTCATCTCCTTCTTGGCCTGCACACGTATCGGTGCCGTCCACTCGGTTGTCTTCGCAGGCTTCTCGTCTGACTCGCTACGCGACCGTATCATCGACGCTGAGTGCAAGGTCGTCATCACCACCGACGAGGGCAAGCGTGGCGGCAAGACCATCAGCACAAAGAAGATTGTCGACGATGCTCTCAAGCAATGTCCCGGCATCAGCCACTGCCTGGTCTACAAGCGCACCGGCGCCGAGGTTCCCTGGACCAAGGGTCGCGACTGGTGGTGGCACGAGGAGGTGGAGAAGTACCCCAACTACATTGCGCCAGAGTCGATGAACTCGGAAGACCCTCTGTTCTTGCTCTACACCTCAGGGTCCACCGGCAAGCCCAAGGGTGTCATGCACACAACCGCAGGCTACCTCCTCGGCGCAGCAGCAACCGGAAAGTACGTCTTCGACATCCACGACAACGACGTCTTCTTCTGCGGTGGTGATGTGGGCTGGATCACAGGACACACCTATGTCGTATACGCCCCTCTGCTGCTTGGTGTGGCTACCGTTGTCTTCGAAGGCACACCCGCCTACCCCAACTTCTCGCGCTACTGGGACATCGTCGACAAGTACAACGTCAGCCAGTTCTACGTCGCCCCCACTGCGCTGCGGCTGCTCAAGCGTGCGGGTGACGAGCACGTCAAGCACAAGATGAAGAACCTCAGGATTCTCGGATCTGTTGGTGAGCCAATTGCCGCCGAGGTCTGGAAGTGGTACTTTGAGATTGTCGGAAAGGAGGAGGCACACGTTGTTGATGTGAGTTGCGGCTGAGTACGCCCATAGACATTGTTGCTGACTGAGACAGACTTACTGGCAAACTGAGACTGGCTCCCACGTCATCTCACCCATGGGAGGCATCACACCCACGAAGCCCGGATCCGCATCTTTGCCATTCTTCGGTATCGAGCCTGCGATCATCGACCCCGTGTCTGGCGAGGAGATTCACGGCAACGATGTCGAGGGTGTACTGGCCTTCAAACAGCCGTGGCCCAGCATGGCCCGCACAGTTTGGGGAGCACACAAGCGATACATGGACACATACCTGAACGTATACAAGGGCTACTACGTGAGTTTGGGCAAGCTGATTACTTACATGCAAATTCTAATAATATCTGCAGTTCACTGGAGATGGTGCCGGACGTGACCACGAGGGCTATTACTGGATCCGCGGACGTGTTGATGATGTTGTCAACGTCTCGGGTCACAGGCTCTCTACCGCTGAGATCGAAGCCGCGCTTATCGAGCACCGTACGTTATGTCCGAAAGTCCGATATGCAAGTTGCTGACGGTTGCGCAGACCAAGTGGCTGAGGCCGCCGTGGTGGGTATCAATGACGAACTGACAGGCCAAGCCGTCAACGCTTTTGTAGCGCTGAAGGACGGCACAGAGTCAAGTGACCAAGTGAAGAAGGACTTGGTGATGCAAGTGCGCAAGTCGATTGGACCGTTTGCGGCACCGAAGGCCATTTTTGTGGTGCCAGATCTGCCAAAGACGCGATCCGGCAAGATCATGCGCCGTATCATGCGCAAGATCTTGGCGGGAGAAGAGGACCAGTTGGGCGACATTACAACAGTAAGTCTGAGTTTTGCCAATATTTCTGTCTTGTTGACGGCGATGACGCGTACTTGGTGGGATGATGTTTACTAACGCCTCCCGACAGCTTTCGGATCCGTCGGTAGTCGACAAGATCATCGATATTGTGCACCAGTCTAAGAAGAAATAAACAGCTCGACTTGGCTCGGGTGGGCGTGGTTGCCATGGGAGGGAAGCATACGAAGCTCTGCTAGTGTGGTGGGGAGGAACTCAGTCGCGCTTGGAGGGAACAAGCGCCGAGCAATGGCAGTCCTATAGTGAGACGCAGGCAGTATGCGCGCTGAGGCATGACCATGCTGTGTTTGTTTGGGCGGCCGCTGAGCGCGCCTCTATGTTTAGTACGGATATAGTACGAATATGCAGCCGCTAGGTTCACGTTGACTGGAATTTTTGTGCATCCGGCTGTTCCTGCGTGGAGCAACGCGACGACAAACGCGCGAATAGCGGCGCAACGGCGTATACAGATACGAAGCAGAGCAGTCTACGGCGCAGAGGTGCAGGCAGGGTGGATAGTTTCATTCGTGTCGCGCCCAGACCCCCTCGCTGTCCGCTTGCCGGCCGCCAAGACGGTGGCTGGCCCTTCTGCACAGCCCCCCTGTAGACGATTACGACTCTCCATTATCGCTCGCCATCGTTCATCCAGCGTATAGCCTTTCGCCTCTACTAGCGTTTCTTCTGTATACACGTACTTTGCCTACCCATGTCTCTCGTTGCGTTGTCGTAGCTTTCGCTTTTCACCACCCTCCCCTTCGTCTCCTGAGCGGAGAAGCACCGCCACACGAGATGCGCATCTTTGGGAGTCTCCGGGCCGCCATCACCATCGGCCTCGCCACCATAACAGCCGCCTCATCGCACGCCCGCCCACCATTGCAGAGCATTGC